CCTAAACCCTAAACCCTGAAGTTTTGGTCGTTGGCAAGGCTGCGGCTGTTGTTGGACGGTCGGTCAGCCTGCTTTTCGATGCCACGGCTTGAGCCAGAGTTCGATTTTGGCGCATGTCGCTCATGTTTGTACAGGAACACTGTCTGGTGCTCAGTAGCGGGAATGGGTTATAGGGACTACTATACGGGACCTTAAGGGACTATCATAGGGATCCATTCCCCCTTTCCCTACTAAGCACCAGACCGAGCAACAGGAACACCGGTATGTTCGCCCATGCAGAAAACTAATCCCGAGGTCGTCCTTGACACAGGTGTCTGGGCCACGTGGCTTTGCAGGGGGTGCAGTTCTTCGAGAGCTTCCGAGCCCTATCCCTATCAGTTGACATTCAAGTTTTCGCACATCTCAGAGACTCCAAAAGCCTCTAATTACGGAGTATACCTTAAATTAGGTCAAGACCCCAAGCATGATTTAAGGTATATGCACTAAGTACTGTGTTTCTTTGAGTCTCTGGGATTGGTTGAGAACCTTTGCATGTTCATGTCAGGTTAGGGTTACCCTACTTGAGGCTCTAAGGACTCATGTTGAAAGGCTTTCTTAGGGTTTAGGGTTTAGGGTGTACTATTTAATATGGGACATGTGTGGTTATTTTGAGCCTTAGGGTTAAGCAAGTTCGTCCAGAAGCCTGACTTGCGCACCCGATTCCCGGCTGGCGATGGGCAGATCGCTGCCATCACTACCCCCAAACCCTCGTTGAATTATTCACCCTAAGCCCTAAACCCTACCAAGATTGTTGGGAGCCCCTGTCCTGAATACAATGCCCAGCTTCTTTTGGACAGGCCTCTCTATAGTAAACCCCGGAAAAGTTGGAAACCAGACTAAGTTCTAAGGACAAACCCTAAACCCTAAACCCTAAAATCGTGCTGGGATTCCCTATACGGATTGGGGCCATTGTGTTTTCTTACTTTTGGGCCGCTGCTCTACACCAACTGCGAGACTCTAAACCCTAAACTCTAAACCCTCAACCCTAAACCCTAAACCCTAAATCCTAAACCCTAAAACCCTAAAACCCTAAACCCTAAACCCTAAACCCTAAGGTGAGGTTCAGACACGAAGCCTTAATCCGTTTAAGGTCAGGCTAACCAGAAGCATTGTCCTTTGAGCTTTAGAGCTTCGTTGGGAAGGCGTCCTAAGTATTTAGTTACATAGTAGAAATTCGGATTTCTATGTTCGGAGTTTTTGGTGGTTTAGGTATGTATCCCTCATGTAACCTTAAACCCTAAACCCTAAACCCTAAACCCTAAACCCTAAATTGAATCCTGAGCCCTTACAGCAACGTATATGGGTACTTCGGGCGCCTTAGGGGGAACGAACCCTAAACCCTAAACCCTAAACTAAACCCTAAACCCTTAAACCCTACGCCCTAAACCTGGAGACCCTGAAGGCGTCATCGCCATCCATAGCTGAAGCATTGCCGCTCTGCTCGTCATGAGTAGTGTTACTTACGGGAGGACAGACCTTCACGATTTTGCGCCTAAACCCTAAACCCTTAACCCTTAAACCTTTAACCCTATATCCTAAACCGAATGTTGTTGGAAAGTTTGAACTTTGGGGCCAGATTTTTCGAAGAGATCAGATAGGAGTGCTTATGTGCGGCTTAAATTCTGGCAGGTGGCAGCCACCGGAGTCCTAAACCCTAAACCCACAGGCCACTAGGAGATTTGGCTGGCGAATGTTGCGGTTTAGGGTTTGGGTTCAGGGTTTAGGGTTTAGGGTTTTGGGTGTTGGATTTAGGGTTTGGGGGTGAAGTTTTAGGGCTGTCGGGCTTTAGGCGTAACATAGGGGTCTAAATAATTAATTTATACTACTGTGAGGGCTCCTTGTTTTAACTATAGTCTTATTGGCTGTAAACTCAACTTTTCAACTTTCGGGGTTCTTATAAAGTAGTCGATTCTGAAAGTTTCAACT